ATGTAAAAATGTGGTCGGATGTGCGACATTTTGGAAGAAAGCCAATTTGGCATTTACTCAAGGCATTGTGCTTCATAAGGAAGTCTGAAAGTCTGGAGTTTAAGACGCTGCAGAGGACCTTCCCCAGGTTACTGTTCACACAGATGCCTCGGTAGTTGTTGGGGTCTAATTTGTCTCCGTTCTTGTGGATGGGGCTGATGAGGCCCTTGTTCCAGATCTCAGGGAAGAACCCTACACACAGAACATCATTGAACAGTTTCAGCATGGCCAGTCTGAAGCTTCGGTCTGTGTGTTTCAGCATCTCGTTCAGGATGCTGTCGACACCACAGGCCTTCTTGGGCTCAAGGACTCCTAATTTTTCTTCCAATTCTTTCATTGTTATGGGAAATCTAAAGGGTTTTGATTTCTTTAATTGATCTTCCAAATTGTCTAGTTTATTAATTATTTCATTTTGTTTATAATTTTGAATTTGAGTTGGGCTGTATAGTTCTTGGAAGTGGTTTTTCCACTTCTCCCCATCTTGGATTGCCAGAACTTCTCGATTTGGTTTGTATAACAATTTCCATTTATCCCAAAATTTGTGTGAGTTTATAGATTTTTCAATTTCTTCAACTGGCTTTGCAGAAACTGTGCTTTTTTCCGCCGGAGTGTGGCTTTATATTGTTTTAATGCCTCACATAAAGAAGGCGGAGGTCCGGATTATCTGGTTGTCTGTGTTTTTGGTTTGATAAATTTCTTAGGTTTTTTCTCAGAGCCTTACAGTCCAAATCAAACCATTTGTCTGTATCTAAATATTTTTTTCTTTGTTTAACAATTGACAAATTACTTTTTTGTGCTGTTTTGTAGAATATGGTGTACAGATCTTGTACTTCCTGATTGATGCCGAATTGGTTTTAGGGTATTCCTGTATTTGGAATGAATGTATGAGGGACTGTATTTCTGGAGATTCAATGGCAGTGCTGTAATTACTGGCACTGTTTCAGTCCATTTGAAAGACATTAATTTGCTCATTTGATATGGAGTCTTAATTGGTTTGGGTGCTGTTTCAGATTGCTTTATATAGAGGATGATTTGGCTGTGGTCTGAGAAAGGTTTTAAGGGTTTGACTGTGAATGCTCTCAAAGAGGACAGGTCTAGATCTGTGATGGCATAGTCTACAGTGCTGTTACCAAGAGCTGAGCTGTAGGTGTATCGGCCGAGCGAGTCTCCTCGCAGTCTTCCGTTGACGATGTACAGAGCCAGTCCTCGGCAGAGCTGCAGGAGCTGCCGTCCGTGAGCGTTCACGGTTTCATCGCAGTTTTGCCTGCTAGGGTAAGAAGGGTACAGGTCGTTATTGCCAGTGATGAATCTGGTACCGTGCGATTCTAAAAAATCTAGTTCTTCTCCTGTTCTGGCGTTTAAATCACCCATAAGCAGCACATTTCCCTGGGCCTGGAAATGGCTGATTTCTCTCTCTATGTTTTGGAAAGTTTCCTCTTGGAAATACGGAGACTCGAGGGGAGGAATGTAAATTGTACAAAGGAAAACCGGCTTAGATGCTGATATCATTCCTTTTTGTATTTTTAGCCACAGGTGGTGCTGTTTTCTTTTGATTAATTCTATGGCCAGTTCAGATTTGATCCATATGATCATCCCTCCCGAGTCTCTCCCTTGTGTGACTGATGTGAGCTTTACTGATGGTAATATTATTTCTCTGTATCCTGAGGGACAGCCAGTGAACGCATCTCCTCTACACCAGGTTTCCTGTAAGACGATGACATCTAGGTCTTGAAGTTCTTTCATAAAATCTGAATTTCTACTTTTTAGGCCAAAGACTGAGGAGTTTAGACCTTGAATATTCCACGTAGAAAAACTAAGTGATTTCATCATAGAAAGTAATGTGTATGGTTTGTTTGCTATTTTGAGAAAGAGAAATGATGCAAAATTACAATAGATTAATTTAAAACAATGAATGATGGAAGTAAAGTTATGTCAGGAACTCCAAAATATTAACAATTCCATATTAAATGTACATTAATACCACAGACTTAGTGGTGTGTGGTTTTTTTTTTTTTTTTTTTTTTACCACTGTCCACTGTGTGTTAGTAGGTGAGAGCAGATGATACTCAGCATGTGTTGTATGTCGTGGAGTTCAGTGTTGGCTCGGCCTGCTCCTCCGCTGACAGCTTGGGCGTAGCTCGGTCTGCCGGGCCGGGCCGGGCTCTGCTGTGGACGGGCTTCAGCTGCTGGAGCTGTGGGGCTGTTGTAGGACAGTCTGTAGGGGTCCTGTCTGGGTGCTGGTGCTCGGTGTGGTGCTCCGGGCGGGGCTCTGGGTGGTGCTCCGGGTGGTGCTCCGGGCGGGGCTCTGGGCGGGGCTCTGGGCGGGGCTCTAGATGAGCTGTGGGCTGGGGTGTAGTTTGCTGGAGTGTGTCTCGATGGGTTGACTGGGTTCGGGCTGGTTCTGCTCCACCTGGGGCTGGTCTGGTTGGTCCGGTTTAGAGTGACATCTTTGAGTCTCTTT